TTCTGATTCTGCTGAGGACTGGGAGATAGGCAGTTCTCTGTGGCTCACTGGCCAGCCAGGTTAACCTACTTGGTGAGCTACAGGCCAGTGAGAGAGACTGTCTCAAAAAAACAGGGTGAATGGCTCCTGAGGCACAAGACACAAGGTTAACCTCTGTCTCGCACACACATGACAGACATTGTTAGATTTCAAACCTGGGACAAATGGCTGATGGCTGAGGTGCCTAGTTAACTTATCAAAGCGTACCTGTCCCCAGGTTCTCCCAGCATCCATCAGCCCTTACCTGTTACAGGGTATGGTTAGCATACCCTATCCTCTATCCTGATTCTCCAGCCCAAGGTGCTGGGCTGCTTTTCCCTGTATAACCCAACCATTTTGGTTACCTGTTCTTTGTCCCTTTGGGCCTCCTGGCTGCTGCACCTGGTACCCCCACCTCTTCCTTTCCCTCCCCATCTCCCCCATGGCTTAGCTCAGGGTCATGTACACGCTGAGCTGGCCCAGAGGTCCCTCGCTCTGGCTATGCTTTCCCATGAGTCTATAATAAACTCTCTCCTCCATCATACATAGTAGCCATGTTTTCTTTATTTTCCTACACACATACACACACACACACACACACACACACACACACACACACACACACACGTACACACATTTACAAACATACACAAAACTAAATGAAGAGTAAAAACTAAAATGAATAGTTGCTTTATGGATGGATCATGGAACACGCTATGTGAACAAAGTCTGACATGGAAAGCCATATGTAACATGCTTCCATTCCATGTATGTGACATACACAGTGCAGGCAAACTTATGGGGTGAAATGTAGATTAACAGTTGCCTAGGATTGGTTGGAGTTGGTTGTGGGGCAAAAAGTGCTGACTCTTACAGCCACACTGGGGTGTCAATTGTTTCCCAACTCTAAAATTCTAAAACCCACTGAATTGGACACATTAAACATATCCAATTTATGATATGTAAACTGAACAGAACTCACTAGCCTATCAATAACTACTAAAATTTAGCAAGCTTTCCTTTGCACCAGTCTTTGTGAATTTGTTTAAGTGTATCTGAACTCTAATATTTCAGGGAGATAAGCCTGGATTTTAAAAGTAGTCAGTAGTAGTACTTGGTCAAATTACAAGTGATTTACCTAATTAAAAACTAACTAATATTAAAACACTTACTGTTTTCCAAGGAGCTCTGTGCTGTGGGCCACCTTAACTGGTTGGAGTGTTAGTGTGTTTGCACCATGGAAACTGAGTCCTCCTCCTCCCCAGACAAGCAGACAATCAGTCCCAGCTCTCCAGTCCTTGGGAGTCTGGTGGGGCAGGTTTGCCTCTCTGCTTTTCATCCAAACTCTTCAGGAATTCCATCTTCTGCTTTCGTTAACTGTGATGGTCCTCACAACATTCTTAACAACATTCAATAAACAAATTGAAATTGCAAAGCAGCTGATTACTGGCAAGGTCATGATAATATAAAGCAGCCCCGATATTTAGTAGCTGGCTAGGTTTGAGTAATGTCTGCCTAACAAGGAGTAGTCAGAGCAGCCTGAGCCCCCGACATTCAGAACCATCTGTGAATGAGAGCCTGAGTAAATTCCATAACTCCAATGTTTCTTTTATCTCACCACTCAAAGGAAACATTTTTAACCTTGTCCCTCTGGCTATTATGTCCAATTAGCTAACGTGTTTTATAAAACAGTTGATGTAAGAGAGGTGTTTAAATAATAACATCCCCCGGAAGCTTTCTCCTGGCCTTCCTTCCCTACCTGACCTCTGCTCTAACCAAACATCTACCATGTCTACAGAGCTGCTTATCTTAAATCCCTCTGTCCCTCCTTCTCTGCCATCTTCTCTCTTTTTCTCTCCTCTCTTTTCCCCTTCCATCCTTCCACTTTTCCTCTCTCCCCTTCCTTCCATATCCAAACATTAGACGGAGGTCTGGGACCATTATGAAGAGTTGGGAGAAGGATTGAAGGCCCTGAAGAGGATGGGAGCCCCACAGGAAGACCAACCATGTCAACTAACCTGGGAGCTCTCAGAGACCAAGCCACCAACCAAAGAGCATACACGGGTTGGACGAAGGCTCCCACCACGTATGTAGCAGAGGACTGCTTTGTTCTACCTCAGTGGGAGAGGATGTACCTAATCCTGTAAAGACATGATGGGCCAGGGTGGGAGGATACCCAAGGCGGGTTGTACCCTCTCAGAGGATACTCTGTGAGTGAGAGACTAGGAGGGGGCAGCATTTGAGATGTAAAATAAGTAATTAACTAATTAATTAAATACTTTAAGAAGATGGCTTGATTATGATGGCTGTTACAGGATCAGTAGATGTATCCATTGATGGATTCATAGTGAGTGTGTGTGTGTGTGTGTGTGTGTGTGTTCATGTTCCTTGTGTCTCTGCCTTATTTATTTGAGACAAGATCTCTTACTGAATCTGAAGCTTGCCAATTCAGGTAGACTGGCAGCATCCAGAATCTCTCTGTTTTTGCCCATGCCAAACATGCACGAGTGCCAGGGATCAAACCAAACTTCTCCCCCTTGTTGAGCACCTATTTTACTGAATCATCTTTCTAGGCCCTAGATTCAGGCTTTGATAGCATTGTCGGAATACGGCAGAAAAGAATAAGTGTAGCCCACTTGGGTAAAGAACATCACGAGGAATGAAATGTACCCTTTTTTGACCCCAACATCTTCTCTTGTTCTCTCTGCTGCCAGACAGCCGAAAGGAAAGCAGCTTTGCTCCGACCACACTTTCTGCCCCAGCCTCTTACCATGTTAGGCTCACCAAAGGCTTTCATCACAACGATGCAGCTGACCCTGGCAGAAACCTCTACATGTGAGCCAAGACATACTTCCTCCTTTACGTTGCTTTCCTCAAGCATTTTGTCTGAGCAATGAAAACCTGACTGATACAAAACCACTTCGGTTGTTTCACTGACAGCAACTCCAGAGAGCATATGGGTCAGTCGGCCAAGAGAAAGGGTAAGACTATCACCACGTATGGAGCTATCAAATAGGCAAGACAGAGTCTTGGAAGCATTGAAAAGCAGGAGGGAAGTTCACACAGGTCACACCTATGTCTAGGGCATGTAATTGTCAGCCTTTCTGTGAGCACATACACTGTTCTGTATCCTCCATAACACCAAGGCATCGATCTCCAGATTCACCAGCATTTGAAGATAGAGTCTCACCAGTGACTCTCCAGAGGATTTCCAAGCCCTCATCCTCCAATCAGAACTGCATCATTGGCCCTCTTATCCAGAAGCTTCCAGGATCTTGGACTGAACACCTAGTGATTTCTCTAGCTCTGCAACTGACAAACAGCCATTGCAGAACTACTCTGTCCCTGACCATAGGAGCCAGCCAATGAATTCCTTCTTCCACACTGCATCCATTCTGATCCTCCAAAGAGCCGTGACTAATAGACACGTGAGATGTCTCAAATGTGAAGAGCTAAGGCGGCTGAGGAGCTGGGGATGGTGGTCCACACTGAGAAGGACGCGGCTTGGCTTGTGTAAAAAATAAAGAGGAGGAGGATGCGACTGTTTGTGGAGCATGGAGAGAACAGAGGTGTAGAGGAAGTAACTGCTCAAAGACCTTGTCAGGAATTTGGATTTTTTTCCTTTTAACCCCTAATACAAAGAGTAGCTGCTGAAAGTTTTCACATACTGGGTGAGATGAGATGATGCAATGGTCTTTCCTTCAAAGATGACTGGCAGCTAACTGGAGAACGGAGGCAAGGGAGAGGAGACAGAACGCATAAACACTGGAGACATCTGCTGCAGAAGTCTAGACAAAAAAAGACAGTGAGTTGGTGAATGAGAGTCACAAGAGTCATGAGGAATGATGAAGTATTGAAACTAGATTTATTTAGAATGACTATGACACCAGAGGCCAATGGCTCAGACAGGAGTAGTCAGGGGAAGGGAGAATCGAGGCTGACTTCTCTTGCTTACGTGATGATGTTGTTCTGAGGATGACTACAGCAGGGCCAGCTTGGGATGAACAAAGTGCCCAGATGAAGTCTTAAGTTTTGATTTAAGTTTGGGGAGATTGTACAGTCATAAATATCGAGGAGCAGTTTGAAGTCCTGCGACTCTGGGGATCAAGTTATATACTCAAAATCACAGACATGTGGGTAATATGTAAAAATATAAAGAATACGTAAGATAAACGAAGACTGATCATTGTACAGAGGAGGCTTTATCACCAGCCTGAGGCTCTCCCCTCTTGGAACTCTGGTAGCAGAGAAAGAATTACCAAAATAGATAGACCATTGCCAGGGAGGATATAACTTGACAAAAGCCAAGGGAGAAGAGCGTAGTTGGAAGGAATTGGATTGGCTATGTCAAAGACAGCAGTGTTTAATGGGTGTCTATTACAAGCTGGAAATAACGTGTTTGAGAGGCTGATTCCCAACCTCCAGTGCTCCTGCTTGACTGTTCTCCCCAAGCTTCCTGTGGCTCCAGCTCAGCTTGACTTCTCTGAATAAACACTTACTGAGAGCCATTCTGCACGGGGTGACACAGGGTTCAAGAGCAGAGGTCCTCCTGATAAGGTACAGAGGAACTGTGATAAGAGCGAGGCCGTGGAAGGAACAAGTGGGAACTTCCATCAGCAAACTACAGGCATCTGAGGCCCTGTCACCTCCTACGTGTTTATTTCCCCTGATAAAAACATTTCTAATGTCAAACCTCTCCCCAGTCATCAGCTGGTCAGAGGGCGAGGTCAACACAAGGAAGAGGCCCCAGGATTTCGTTCAGTAGTGAGCTTCTTACACCACATTAAAAAAAATGACTTCCCAAAGCTTGAACATAATGTCATATATTGAAATAACAGGATGAAAAAAAATTGACATAAACAATGCACAAGGCCTCATACAAATAAAATAAAATTAGCAATCATGATAACATACAATATTTATTTATTACAAGTAGCAGAATATGCTGAGGACAAAAGGATTCTGTGATAGATGTTTTCCAGTGATCAGCTGTATGAATGCCAAAAATCTAAACCCTAGCGCTGGGGATATGACTCAGCTGATAAGAGTGCTTGTCTAGTGTGCGTGTAGCTCTAGGCTCCATTTACGGCACGGCATAAAACCTGAAATGGTCGTGCATTCCTGTAATTCTAATACTTGGGAGGAAGAGGTAAGAGGAGCAGGATCGTCCTTGGCTACATTATCAGTTTAAATATGGGATAACGGGATACAGAAAACCTTGTCTAAAGAAAAAGGAAAGAAGGAAGGAAGGATGGATGGATGATGGATGGATGGATGGATGGATGGATGGATGGATGGTGTGGACCACATAGCAACCACTGCTGCTTGATAAAATTGCAGCACATCGACATCACAGATTCTCCAGCATCTTTTAACTTCCATTCTTGATCATCTTTCACTATGCATTATAGGAATTTCCTTATGTTCTTTCCTCTGGGAAATTTTGTAGAGGATGTGAATGTATACAATAGCAGTCTCTCTGAACAAAATAATTCTTTGGAAAAAAAAGTCTCTATGCCACTGTGGAACCATATAGGTTGACAATTCTGCCTGCTTCTACACAAGAAGCTCCATCGTGCCCCACCCCAGTTTGCACCAAGAATAGAGAAGTTAAAAGTTTATGCTTCCAGAAGTTCTTAGGCCCTTACATCTGATGCCAAGGATGAAAACATGTGATCTAGAGAAACAATCAGCCCAGACCCAGAGTCTGAGGCCTTGGTAGTTGAGGGCAAGAGTTCAGTTAATAAGTATAGCATAGTGCCCATGATTGATTCCCTGGGTACGTGACTTACAGGATTAATAGCAAGATCTGGTATGTCCCATGAAAAGCAGGTTTTGTTAAGAAGTTAGACTGGCTTGATCTCCCTCTGCCATACACTGGAACACACATTGAAGAATTAGGATGGTATGGCTTATTGGAAAAAGAGCAAGCTGTCAGGGCCTTCCTTTTGGGGAGTGTATGAGGAGAACAGACCCATATTGTAAGATATAGGCACAGAGGAACACAATCAGGAAACAGCTCAATGTATGTTATGTCATATGGTACAAGCACTGCAGAATGCCCCTTGAGGAATAAAAAGTGCTCTTACAGGTTTGTTCCGCAGGACTCAGTGTCTGGCACCTCTAACCACAAAGGCTGAGAGTTTGCAGGGGGAAGTGTAAAGGCGGACCTGGAGGGGTTGCTAGGCTTAGAGAACAATAGAGACTTAGACGCTTGCTGAACCTACTGCTTTTGGGTCAAAGAAAAA